CTAAACGTTCTCATATTCTGCTTGATAGTAATTATCAAGTGATGGTTTGCCTAAAAAAGTTAAGAAACCAAAGGTGACCAGACTTGCTCTGAAGTTCCCTGTGGTACTGAAAGACAACAAAACTTAAAGATCCTAATGATGGAGGCTTTGCTCTTATCATACTCTAACCACTCTTCAGGGCACCATTTTACTGTCCATTACAGAGAAAAATTCCCTTTCCCAGAGACTGAGACATTTTTCTTTTTCCTTTTGATTTAATAAGGTAGAAATGCAAATATTACACCTTGCAGAACCTCCAGTGTATGTATCTACATCTAAGGTCCTCATGCTGGCCTTCTTTTCTATTCAGTGGAGACCTAGTGAGTGCTATCTTAACATAAAATGGATGCTTACATTTCTTCAGACGTATCATATCCTGACTTCTACCTGTGATACCAACTAGATAACTAGTGGCCATAGAGAGATCCCTGGGTAACTGCCTCAGATGTAAACAGAAATACTTCATGCTGTCACTCCTACTTACTGGTACAGCCGTATACAGTACAGCACAGAGCTTTGGGCTCAGAAATTTAGCAATGTAACTCACAAACAGACATGTTCCTTTTCAGTGAATACATACAAAAGGAGGCTAGTGTAAGGTACACCATTAGGTAAAATTGGTTCTTCAGTAGTGATCTCTAGGCCTTAATGAAATGGGTGGCACTGATTGCCACTTCTACTTGAAAGCACAGGGAACCCCCCTGCTGTCTTCCTTCATCCTTTATAGTATCTTGTAGAGATCTTGTGAACTCCATTTTCTTAAAGAAAAAAAATCATCGCCATTAGTGTCTTTCAGGACACCTGCTATAAATAGTTAAAATTGCCCTGCTTTTCTCTCTCAGTTTAATTATTTATTTGGAGAATAATTACATTAGATGTCAGATTCCATTATCACTGAAGTTGTAAATGATCCTGAAACCAAAACAAATGCTGTCTTCTTGAGACCAGTAACCTCAGCCTTTCAGACACTGTGTTAATTGTTGTTTCATTGCAGAATCCATATGGAATAAGAATAAAATGTGAATCTCGGTCTGCCCTGAGATTTAGTTTAGAAAAGTTAACAAAACCTACAGATAATGAGAAGTGATGGATTTCCCATTGCAGATGCTTGTCTGTGCCTGTCAAAGTCTTGCAGAAAATAATATATCCCTCAGCAGCAGCAGAATAGGTAAAAGAAAGAGTGTTAATGGAGACTCAGTAGAAAATATGAATATATTATGATAGAATATCATTGTTAAAGCTGGAGTCAATGAACTTGAATTAATTTATCTCCATCAAAATCTAAGCCTTTCAATCACATGCATGCAAAGTGGATACCTATCAAGCTCCAAACTGAACTTACTTGTACTTAAAGAAAGGTAAATTTTTTAGTTTATTGAATATTCAATCTATTTCCTGATCATTTGCAGAAATCCGCCCATTTCTGTGAAACATCAACCTTGCCCATCTCTCAGAAGGACAACAAACTTTTTGGCTAACCATAATGTTGCTGTTAAGTGCTTTTGCAATGCTCCTCTCCTGTCACTGAACAGGAGAATATGTGGACTGGGTCAGATCAAAGATCTGTCTAATCCAGTAACCTCTTTCCAGCAGTGTCCAAAGGCAGATGGCTGGGGGAGAGCTGAAGACCATGGCAAGAAGCTTGACACTACTCTAATAGTCCCTCAGCTGCCAATCATCCGTAGCTTAGGGACTTCAGGAGCTGTGCATGGTTTCTTTGCACTTAGTCACATCCTCTGGATTTCCCCTCCAACAATGTGTCCGGTCTTCCCCTTGAGCCTTGTAGACCTTCAGCCTTTGGTATTACTGTTAGCCCAGGACATTTTGTGAAGACCAACCCTACCCAGCCTCTCTGCTCGAGAGACAGCGGTAACAGTGTTCTGTCTGTGCAGATTCTCCAGTGGTACCTATTTAACTATTACAGTCTTTATTTCTAATTCTGTACTGCTCTTCATTGTTATGTCCTCTTCCATATACAGCATATTTGCACTTTATTATTTTGGTGCTTGGTTTCATATTTATGAGCTTATGAATAACAGAAACTATATAAATAGGATATTAATTCAGAATGATTACTTGAAGGGAGCAGGGTGTACCACATGAAAATGTTTTTTTCCATGACACAAAAGTAGCCTGGGCCCTTCCCTTTACCCAGAAAATCAACATAGTCACCATTTCAGTATCGTTCCTCAAGAACATTCCAAATCACAGAAAATAAGAGGAATATGAGTACACACAGACTTAGGGGGTTACTTCTGATACTCAGAAAATAACCCACTATCCGCTTTCACTTCTCTAAGGTTCAGTCCCAAACCTACCCTGTTTCCTTAGTTCATTTTGGCAGATTTAAACATTGAAGGACAGGTTTTGTGTTGTTTCTACCAGAAGCCAGCTTTCTAATTTCTGAACATGTAAAAAGTTGTTGTTTTTACAACCGTCTTTCAAGGCTTACTAGATTAGATTTGAAATCTTCTCCACTTCTCATTTACTATATGCCACTTTTTTAATTGCAACCAAAATACCATCTGTGCTGAAATTTGTTTCATGAGGGTTTTGCTTTGGATATCAACTATTTCTATAAAACATTGCTTAAAATCAATTAGTCGCTTTGGACGTAAAGAAAAATTAAACAAACAGTTTTATATATCTTCCTGCACCCTTTTTTTTCTGGCTTTTATGGTATTTTGAGAAGTTTCACGTTTGCCTGATGGATGGTTCCCTATTTAATGACAACAGATAAAAATTCTGTAACAGAAGTTGGGAAAAATATACGGGAAAAATATACCGTACTGCTTATTGTCATCCTACATGAAGGAAAACATCCTGCTGCTTAGACTAGTGAGTAAGATGACTCAGATCTCCTCTCTCTGCCCATAATGGATGGTGAGGATCCTGTGCTCTTCACAAAATCTCTTGACACCATGCTTATGGGGAACACAGACAAAGTCCATAGCCATGTAGGCTTCTCTGAACATCACTGGGCTGCAAAATTAGCTGAGGATTACTCCTTCCAGAGCCCCTGCTGAAAACACCTCCATCATCTCCATAGTAATACTTCCTCCGTGTTAGTACCTGCAGTGTGCTGGGTACTGCCTGTATGTAAGATGTGGAGCTTTTGGCTGTGTCCTCATGATAAGTTTAATCTTGTTTAAGTATGGGTTGCTACCGAGAGGGAAACCCTATCCTGCCACTTGCTGCCCTACCTATAGAGCAACAATGTGATAACAGAGGAAGCTGCAGCTGTCTGACAAGTGAAGGTGGTCTGGCTGAAAAAATAACTGGACAAATAGTTAACAGATAGTTTTCAACATTGGCTCCTTGAGGAGGTTCCCCGCACAGTCCTTTAACCATTACTGCTGGCTCACAGGAGAGGTCAGAGACACTAAGGTGCCCCTTCAGTGTGCACTTAGACACAGTCAAATTGCAGTTGTGGAAAGACAGATAAATCCCCTGAGGTTGTCTGGCAGCACGGCACAGGCCTGTTACTTGGGACTGTGTTTCTGCCATACTTAAAAGCCCTAGCTCTTTTTAAACAGGATCCAATTCATAGATTTTTGTTTCCATAAAATTTATCTCACTGGAATCTTCAACATGAGATAAAGGTAACAGGCATAGCATCTTGCTATTAGCAAGAGCACATAAACATTATGTTCTCCTAAATACAAGTCAAATTATTTAATTTCCTATTAAGATTTATTTTTTTAAGTTGATATCCATTTTTTTAAAAGTTGATATCCATAAAAAAAAAAAAAAAGAAAAAAAAAAAAAGAAACTCTTCACTGCAGCTTGTACATTTTCTTCTCTCTTCTGGGAGGACAACACCTTTCCTGTATAGGATGATTGGTAGGCTAATGCTCTAAAAATATGAGAGAAGCATCTTCTGTTAGATTAAGATAAGGCATCAGGATGAGAGTCTTTTTCCAGGCCTTTTCAGAAAACAGTATTAATAAACAGTGTTTATATTGCCTGATTGCACAGCTTTTTGCATCAGAACTCCCAGCATCAGGTCCCTCCTCCCAACTCTGCCAAATTCTGTCCAGTGTCCTTACCCATATCTTCCTGCCTTTTCTGTGCCTCACTTTCTGAGCTGGGAAATATGGATATCTTATTTTTTTCTTCCATTCTTTGTCAGTCATACATTTGGATTGCAAACCTTTCAGTGAGCAGGGTGCACCCACATTCCTGCCTCTACATACTTGGCTTTACTTGGCTTCTCAAATAAAAGTGATGGATAATAATAGAAAATCTGTAGAAGTGGAGCTTGGTGCTGCTGCCATTCCTGACAGATGCCCAAGTTACGCTTGATCCTCTTATGTAAGTTATACAATGATAAAAAAAAAAATTGCATTTTGCATAAATGAGAGCTAGAAATGGCCTTCATTGATCCCATGGTGGTTTTATGCAGTGAATCCAGGAATGCTTCAGTTAGCAGCCATGAAGAACCCTTCTTGATTAAATCAGCTTCATCTTTTACTGCCTGTGACAGAAAATGTACATAGCCTATAAGTCACAAACACATTTTTTTCTCCATTCTGCCCATGTGAGTGCAGTTTGGACCTCTGATATGAACTTTATAGGATTGCAGATCTTGTGACATGTCACTAAGAATTCAAGACTTTGAAAAGCAAAAGAGCAAGCCTTGATATTACAGTACAAGTGTTTACATTTACTTTTTAACGTTAAAAATTAGCAAATAATTGCCTTAAGATGCTGAGCCCCAAATGAAACAAGCTCTGTAGGATTGATTTTACTAAATGCGAGGTAAGCAATGATGTAATTTTAAGGACATTGATGAGTGTAATAAAGCAATCCAATCCTGAAGGGGTTGAGAACTGGTTCTGTTTGGGTTTTTGTTTGATTGATTGATTTTGGTGTTTTTGTGTTGTTTTTTTTTTGTTTTGTTTTTTGTTTGTTTGTTTGTTTGTTTGGTTTGGTTTGTTTTGTTTTTATTTTGTTTCCAGAAATCCCTAAGACAGAAGCTTTGCTGCTGTTCAGAAGCATTTTCCCTGAGAACACATCAGATTGCCTAGCATGGACATGAATAATTGAAGAACACCATCACGGCAGCAGTCCTCCCAAGGGGCTTTTCCAACACCTTGTTATCAGCTGGTAAGAAGCATGAATGAAAGCAAACTATAGCCTCAACCTGGTCTTCCCTGTCCCACCAGGTGTTCCCCCAAGCAGGGGCCAGGCTCTGGGTTCAAGATGTCCTGTTTACCTGCATGTACGTGCTGTGTGTACGTAGCACACAAAGACCAACCTGTGTGCTGTATGTACCATAGTGTATGCAGCACAGCATGCATGGTGTGCACACCACTGGGTACATGCCATGGCATACACGGCACAATCCCAGAGTGAACACATCAGCATGTCTTGATACATACGACAAACAGAGGGGAAAGTTAAAAGGCCTTGCAGCTGAGGCTGTTCCCCTAACCCCTCTTACATTGTGAATACGCTAAACTTTGTGTTTTGTTTTTTTCCTTTCTTTTGTGTATATAAATAGACTTGTAATTCTGGACCAAAGCAAAGTAGCAGAGATCTGTTAGCATCAGTGAAACAAAGTCAACTTACACACCGAGGCTATATTTTTAGTTACTTTTTGCTGTATGCTATATATAAATTAAGGTTGAAAATTAAGTAGACACAAGAAGTGTCTACTTCTTTTAGACACTCTAAACCTAGGCCTTCTTTTCAGACCAATACAATATTACTGTTTAAGAAGTAATTCATTAATTCCATCTTAATTCAATAATTCAAAACGATTTAATAACTCTTTTGCATGAGAAACCTCACCAGGTGGCATCTACTCACAAAAGGAGCTATATCTTTAATTTGCCTCTGCTACAAAGTTGGCTTGCCCCTGTGTTTTTTGGTTACAGCAGCTTTGATCATATTTTACTCTATAAAAATAGAGTCTGCATCTGACAGCATAGAGCACATTTATTTAAAATATGGGAAACTGTACAGAAATAACAATAATAGCATCCCCTGCTTGTATGAGGGAGAGTGAATGAGAATGTGACAATTTCTTCTCTACTGTTATCTATCCGAACAAGGTCAAAATTTCAGCTCTAGTGACCTTGTGGTCACAAAGATCACAAATCACAAGAGAGAAAAGGTTAAAAGAAAAGGGCCATTACAACAGCCAGTTGTACATGGCTACAATGCACAAGACAACCTGCAGTTGTTGTATCTCTGAAATTCATTTTCTTAATACAGAAACTAGGTTTCACCTCCCGATGTTCAATAATTTACAATACACAGATCGCAATAATGCCCACTCTTTCTCAGCACCAATAAGAGAAATACCACTTCATTTAAATATTAAGAACCCTCAAAATTGAAGAAGAAAGTGCCAAAAATACAGGCATTACAAATTTGCTCTGGTGAATTTTGGCATAGTTCTGCATACAAGAAAGTCCTTTTTGAGGAAGCCGCAGACAGGTTCAGCATTACATAGTAATATCAACAGGAATATTATAGGAAACCTGATATCAACAAAATCAGGATTCTAATAGCTCTATGACTCATGGAAGAGATCCCTGCTTTGTAGGGCTTCCTAAGCCCCAAAATGGACCAAGAATGTATTTAGGTTCTTTCCAGGCTGTAGAGGCACAGAGACCTTACTGCACAGCTTCAAAATTCACAGCTCTCCCTGCCCTCAAGTGACCTGCCTGCAAGTGCCCTTAAGTCTTTAAACTCATGGAACATTAAAGACCATATAGCATTTAACCATAAATGCCACCAAAATTAAAACCATATAGATCTGCTATGAACACCAGAGTCTGTCTCTCTGCCAATGATCATATTTAACTTTTCATACCATCTTATTAAGGACTATGTTAGTATATAATGTAATTTAGAAGAGCTTTTCTGCTCATAAAGCTATGGCATCTCTAGAGGAGTTAATATTTGTTCTGAGGATCAACAGGCACTATAACTGAAATTAAAGATGACTTTTTCATCTAAAAAATCCTTTCTAAGCCTCATTGACTTAGTGCCCTACTCACAGCGTAGGGTTTGGAGCAAAAACAGAGACCTGGAGTCAAAGTCTGATGACAAAAAAAAAGTCAGTTATTGGCAGGTTTTATCTGATTTGATCTTACTCACAATGTATCTCAACTTCATACAATGTTTTAATCAAAGTAAGCTTTTATGAATATCCATTATATCCATTTCTACTTATTCTAATGGATCCTAGGACTGAGAAACCTATATGGTAGGAAGTAGGGTCTAGCTATTAAAGTAATTTTTATTAACTACAAGGAAGCTTAAGAAACGTATTTCAAAATCAGTTCATTAAAGGAACTAGGACAGCAATGAAATCAGTCAGCATTTATATAACATTCTTTGGACAACAGTTAATTGCCCAAACAGGTTACAAATAACATAATTTAGCAGAACCAAGCAGGTGCAAAGGCTATATGTGATTCAGCCTCTTAGGTATCAGAAATGCCACAACTTGCTTAAGAAGAGGCACAGAAGTAGGAAGGTGTCACTCATCCTCCTGCCCTGCCCCTCCCTTGAACATCACTGTGGGGATGTGTACTGTAAATGGTAAATCCTTTCAAAGCTGCCATATCCCTCCTTAAATAAATACCAAACAATTAAAAGATATGCTCAATCTCCCAGTGGATGTTAGATCAAGCGGAAATTCAAAATGCAGCGCTACTTTCTAAATTTGCCTCTATGCAACTTCATGTTTCAAAGAATAAGAACACAGTGCCCAAAGCTCCATGACAAAAGGGGGAATAGTATCTCAGGAAGTCCTGTTTTCCTTTGCAAAGTTAATCAGGACAATATTCTATGCAGATATGCTGCCTAGACAACCTCCTGGGAGCTCAGACTGCGATCCCCTACTACGTCGAAGGGAAGGAAGCAAGCATGACAGGTAGAATATTGTCTTTTTTACCATTTTACTATTTGACATATTTGTTTGTGATAAAGTCTGCAATCTAAATACAAATGAAGGCCCCAATACTCTGGGCTTTTAGTATATCTTGTTTAGAAATACAGTAAATTAGACAAACAATTCAGAAATGTACTTCTAGATGAGGACAAACAATGGAAATCTTCATGCCTGATCACAGGTAGGTGGTAACTCTTAGAAAAGGTTTTAGAGTTACAGTAAAAATAAGAGAAGGGATGCCAACATCTCTGCCAAACAGCAGAAGAAAATCTGGGGCATTCCTTTGGGTATGTATATTTGACTTATGTGTCTAGAAAACAATTTTTAAATGCTTTTGTGGAAGTGAGGGTGGCTGGATTTGTTGGGGCACATGCAATACTGCAAATATGACTACAATCCCTGAATGCCTACCCGGGAATTAAAATAGTTATCAAGTTTACAAAAGTCATTCATCTTTTCACGAAAGCAAATATGCATGAGCAGTCCTCCTCCATGATTCAAAGTTAAATGTTTTAATTCAGGCAGGCTCTGGGCTCTTGTCACTCCTTTGCAAATGTGTGCCTAATTTGACACACAGAGCCAAAGATTAGTTCCAGCAAAGTCCTGTGATGCATTTAACCATAGGATCAAAAAGCTCCCACTGACTCCAAGTGTGAGAGATCAGAGACTGAAGGATCAAGCTTTATAGCAAGGAGGGTCAAAGAGAAAGTTTCCAACCCACAATATGAGCACTGTTTTTTATTGTATATCAGTGCTCTTCTCTGAAGGACTATTCTCTCTCCAGCATGGCAGTTTCTTTTTTCTGAATGGCCATTATCAGATCACAGCTTAACACTGAAGTTGTTTATAAATGTTCCTTATGACATTTCCTTTATTTTTTTATTTTTTTATCAAGCCATTTTTCCAGCATGAAACAGGACTTTTATTGTTCATATATAGTAGGCAATGAACCTGCAAATGCAGCCTTTATAAGCCCTAGGAACTTCCTCAATGAGCAAAATGACTAACTGTGATGGACATTCATAAATCACTCTATATCATTTATCATATTTCCCAAAGTTTCATTAATTCCTACAGGAAGGAATCAATATAATGTACATCTTCAGGAGCCAGCAGGTTGGCTTGGCCTCTAGGCATAAAATAAACATGATGCTCACTTCCTTACTCAAGAGGTGCAAGTTTTGTATGCGCACACAGCAGAAAATTGATGTCACTCACACAGGCACTGGTTTTGTTTTCAGAATGGGCAAAAATTCAGGTTTAATCCTGCCTCCACTGTATTCACTGGACATTTTTTCCTCTGAAGCTCAGTCAGAATTTTATGTGTAAGGCTTTCAACCTACCTCTGATTTTGAGCAATCAGATTATAGAGTGCAGATTTGGTTTCCAGGTGAACTGAGAGGCCACCACCATCTGGGCCAGGGCTGCCCAGGACCCCCTGAAGGTGACCACAGAGACAGTATTATGTCTGTAAGAATCCATAGAAATGGAGCACACAGAGTCTTTTCCTTTTAAGCTGTCAAGTGAATAAAACACAAATAGATTAAAGAAGCCTTTTCAGTGAAGCCTGGTGCAATGCTAAAGCAAGCTTGACATCCTGTGGCCAGAGCCAGCATGGGAATGACTCAGCCTTTGAAAATCTGGACTCACTCCCTCTGGAGACAGTCCTACTCCTAAGGGCATATACTTTCATTTGAGATAGGTGTGACAGTTTTGTGAGAAGTGAGTAAGTATTCTAGAAGAAAAGATACAAATGTGCATGCTAAATATTTCTGGCAGAGCATGACTAGGAGCTGAAAGAGTGATTCCATATGAAAGCCAGGAGTCTACCCATCATCAGAGGGTAGACAGAGAGAGAAAGTCTGTGTGCATCCTCTGCTCCAGGTAACTCCTTCCCTGAAACAGGGGTGCAAATACAAATGTGGGACTGGAGACTGGGAAAGGAAAATAAACAAAAATATGTGCGATGTGTAACTTTAGAAAGACTAGTTTCTCCTGAAAGAAGCAGGTGCAAGCTGGAATCTAAATATCTCCGAAAAGATTATTTAGTCATAATCATAAGGTCTTTTCAAAAGTCTGCTGCTTCTTTTTGCAGCACAGATTTCACAAAAACAAGAAAAGCTGTCCTTAAAATATCTGCAGTAATTGTTATAAAACAATCACATGTAGCAATCTCAGCTTATTGATGCACAAACAATGTACCACATCAATCATTGTAAACCTTTCCAAACCTACATGCACATGTAATTTGGAAGAACTCATCCTACAGCAAAGATAGCAGGGCAATTTGCTAGAACTTAATATAAAACAAATTATTTCTGTTGAAAGAACAAACAGTAACAAAAGGGATATCTCTAGATACACGGTTGCTGAGGCAAGACCCAACATTTCAGCTACACAATACCTTGGGATGAGTAGTGTTTATACAATTTACAGAAGATTGTCTTTGAACTTTCAAGATCATTGATATACTTTTAAAGAGAAGTTAATAGATTTATTGCTAGGTTTATTAAGATAAAATGAGTATTTATTTGCTCTTGTTTTGTTTCCCAGAGCATACAAACTAAACTACCATTATCCAACTAATTTGCTACGTATTCAGCCATGGCAAGCTTTCCAGGTTGATTGCATGGCCTTTGAATCAGGCTACTGATCGGTCATGTTGGGTAGGACAAATGAATTCTGCGTGTTTCTTTTTCAAAATATTCACCGCCTGTGAACTGCTTTCTCGTATCTTTGCTCAGGACCCCTATAAGCCTCTTGACATTCTTGAATGAATATTTTGACATTACAAGAGTACATGATTTTTTCAACAACCATTGTTTTAAACTTTTTAAAACAGTGTATTTTAGTATATGTGACAATATGCCACAGAAAGTTAAAAAGGAGAGACCATGTCCAATCCTGAGGATACAAAGCAATGGAGCATTTCGAGGATAAAACTACTTCCTCTCTTTTTTGTGTGTGTGGTTAATTTCAAAATATTCAGTTTTTTTCAAGTTCAGCCCAAAACAAATTCTTAACTCATTGCACAAATGTAAAATTTTTTACTGTTAAAATGGAAAGTTATTAATGATAAGAAGGAACATACTGAACTCTATTTCAGCTCATAATAAAAAATAGGTTTTAATTCTGAACATAGAATTAATATTGTTGATAATAATGTGCTTCTACTAGCAAGTGCTAGCTCAGCAATAAAGACTTCTGGAATTCTTATTGTATTTGTAAGGTGAGTGGGAGATCACAACTCTCTGAGCTTAGTTTATTCATTGTAAAAGGCGTTATCAACCTAGACACCATACATGTACATCAAATAGAGAATTAATCTACACAAAAATATATCATGTATGTAATTGGAGATAGAGAGCCACTCCAGAGGTAACCACACAATAGTTCATATAATGCCTGCCTATTTCTAGTTTTTTCACATCTATTTTTAAATTATTCCATATTAGAAAATGTCTACAAGTACAATGTCCTTGCACTATATTCCATTTCTAATCATTAAATAATTATGACTATTTTGCCCTCCTTAGTTAAAGAGTATCAGCTGTGCAGTTGAATAAGGACAACAGGAGAAAGAGATTGTTGTTTGTTTGTTTTTTTTAGCAGGTGTATAAACACATAGGCACATGATCTTCACTTTGCAGAGGTAGCTGGTGGCAATTATAATCAGAGTGGAGATGTGTCACTCTAAATTTGTGAGCTGTTATCCATCAGTACTTGTTCTAGGAAGCATTAGTTCATTCTGCAATACACTGAATGCTCCTGTTGATTGAAACTATTTAAGGTTGTCAAATCAGGGCTTTTCTCTGTGCTGTATCACACCTGCTCAATTTATATTTCATTGTTATTACAAATAAAACAGAAATAAACATTTCCTTTATAAAAGACCCCATTAACACTTCCAAAACTGAGAATCTGTTTTGCAAACTACTTTGTTTTGAGGAGTAAAAATCTCAGGGGTATTTACATGTAATTTTCAAAAATATTTCTAGACACCTTAGAGCTAAGATTATAATAGCGCATAAGTGAAATTTTGGGTGAAATGAGGAAGCAGCATGGCATCAAACTCACATTGTTTAAATATCTGAACATAAAAGCCACATTTACAATATGGACATATTCATATGGGATTTCAATGTCATTTCTGCTCTTGTAACATTAATATGCCTTTGGAAATATTACTTCAGCCTTCCACACTAGGCATTTTTATGTCAATGGCATTAGCATCTTTACGTTTGCAAAGCATGCCATGGAATCCTTGCCCTTGCAGACGTCTTTCTTGCTCCAAACTTGCCTTCCAAACAAAAGCTGCACAAGCAGCAGCTGTTGGACAACTGAGAACTTCAGTATGAGGGAAGTGGAATGGATTGAAGGGTCTCTTTTGAAGAACATTCCCATAGCAAATCTGATGTTTATGGTTTTTGCGTCTTCCACAGGTGTACAAAGCATACTTTAGGCCTAGTCTAGCCTGTACCCCTTTAGAAAGTGTTGGCTTTGTCTACACGTTGAGCATTGCGTATTTGGATGTCTACCTTGTGAGATATAATTTCTCTTCCCTAGCTGTATGACTGAGGTTTTATAATTAGGTTGGTGATCACAAGCAACCTAAATAACAAACACTCCTTTCCAGATGAGTGTTGTGCTGTGAATATATTTGTGGAAAGAAAGAAAGAAAATATATAAATAAATAAATAGAAGTTTAGAAACAATGAAAATCCCAGACTAAAAGTAAACAGTACTATACTATTGCTGTTTTAATAGATGTTTATCAGCAGGTAGATTCTTCCTATTGTATTATATCCAAAATACACCAGAAAATGTTTCATGCCCTAATATTTGTCCTGTAGCAGCATAATGTCTAATACCACAGTGGTTATAGATTCAGTGCAGGCCCAGAAGAGACCAGGAACATGACTTACTCTATAGAAATTAGGGTTAATATTTGTTACCTTGTAGAATGAGAGTGCCAAGTGATTTATCTGCAGGTTCAAAATACCAGGAGTGAAATCTCAGTGTATTCAGAGTTAGCCTATTTAGTTATTTAAGTGATTACTGGTCATTAATGTAATTATACCTACTTAGAAAAAATTAGAAAAAGCCATTTCTTGGAACACAAAGTTGATAGTGGTTTATAGTTCAGTTTTTGGTTGTTCTCTGAAGTGAAGGAGAAGCCAAAGAACATCAACAGGAATGCTGAAATATTGCATTTTTCAAAGCTTTCGAATCCCCATGCTGAGAAGAAAGTTGTTTAAATTTTAATTTAATTTGATAGTAACATGATTATGAGGGACAATTGTTTTGATTTGTTATTCATCATATTTTGGACAACTGAATGACAGACTTGAGAGCTTTTTTTAAAAAAAAACTTAATAACCTGTTAACTCCATTGTGCTGCATTATATTTATATTTTCCCCAGGTACTAATACAGCTTTCTAATTGCACCACTGAGTCTCATATTCAAATTACTATTTTTAATTATTGACACATAAAACAATCAAATATGATGCTTCAGCAATAAATTAGCATGATATTAGAGGAAAACAAGCTGAACATATTCACTAATCAAGTCAATGACTCGCCAAAATGTCTTCAATCTGCACAATTATGACAGTTGAACTACAGAGTCCAGGTTTTCCAGCAGTTTGCAGGCAAGCTCAACAGCAAACAAAGAAATATGCCTAAACAGTCTGCTGCCTGAGATTTGCTTAGTCCTCCTTTCAGGATGCAATCCAATGCTCATTTTAGCAAGAGGACACTTCTGTCCTGTTTACACAGGCACTAGATCAGCTCTCTATTAACATGTTTGGAGGAGGGAGAGGCCATCCTTTTCTTGGTCATTAAAAGAACTCCCAGTGATGGACAAAAAATAGCATGGCACAGGCTTCATCTGCAGTAAGTTACAAGATACACTGAAAATGTAGCAAAGCTACAACGATGGAGATTTGCAACCTCTGCCCAAAAATGTCAGCATTATTAAGGGGGCTGATCTCCCTATTGATAAACATGTTTAACTAAGGTATTGACTGGCTTGCCCCATATACACCCACAAACACAGTGTTTGAGGCAGGCTACACAGACAGGTTCTGCACAGCATTTAAAATACTGCCCATCTATTTTTCTAGACAAATTGCAGTGATAGGAGATGCACAGTCTCTGACCACAAAGTGGCAGACAACCAGTAGACCTCAGATAAGCTGGAGTAAAAGGGGAAAATGGGCAAGGATCATGCAGTGTTGCAGGCACACAGACCTCAAATTCCTTCTGCTGGTGTGTACCAACAGCTTACACATGAGATTGTGCAGGATCAAGGCCTTTATCTGCTTGCTAAGATCAAGCCCTAGAGAAAGTGATTGCTTTGTGTGAAAAACAGCCCAGAATCTTGTACTCTGTGATGTTACAGCCAAAGTCTCAATACGAAGATACATCAGACCATTATGTACTGGGACTTGGGCTGAAAATGAGATGCCATGAAATATGCAGAGCTTTTTGTGTGTTTTGTTTCTCTTGCCACCTATTTTCTCTCCCATGAAATTGCTCTATTCCTGTTCGTGGTAATGTGAAATACAGAGATTTCGTATTTAGTGCACAACCGCTCCACCTTGGCATGGCATAGAGCATAGCAGCTGAGTGCTAAGTGCTGCCGACACTCCCCCAGTCTGTCTGGGACCCTGGTGCAGCTGGAGTCTTGGCACGTTGGCACTTTTACAGGCACTGTGAGGTGTGAGTTTTGATCTGCTTGTTGCAACTCAAAGTTTTCCTTCCGTGCTTTTAAACCATAAATAATTATCCATGAAAAAACAGAGGTATCAGATTGCTCTGTCTTCCTGCAGTGTTTTGCAATTGTTTTTATACAGTCTTGTTGTTTTCCTCACCATCTTCTTCTGCTCTTCTACCTGCTGCCTGCTGACACAGATTACTGTGCTCTCAAAGACTGCTCACGTCAGTAAAATTTTAACCAGAGCAAACATGCAACCTAATAGAAATGCAGTGTTTCACTAGCATAATTGTGGTGTTTTGTTCTGTTGTGGCTGAAAGTCTCCATCTTGATGAGACAATATGGCTTCTGCTCAAGTAGACCAAACAAGGCATAGTCAAGAATTTGTAAGATTAAAGCTTTGTTGGCGTGGGGATTGCTGTAACACCTCCACTGTGAAAACAGGTACTCAATATTCATTGCTTGCCTTATACCTTAGCTCCTAAACGCCATCCAGTTCCTGGGTAAATGGGTAGTATGAGCTGTCATACAGTTTAACACTAAGCTGTTATCATACTTGTTTGACACTAAGCATAGGCGGTTGAAGAGGACATTAGTCAATAGCTAAAGATTAGGAGGCATAAACAAACCCTGCATATGCATGGCAATTTAATATGGCCGGCCTGGAGAATTTCCACCATCATTTGAAAACACAAAATGAGTTGGTTTCATGGTCTTGACTGCTCCTTCTGTGATACAACCTTTTTCCTTTGTGTGACCAGTTTGTTTGCTTTTTCTGAGAAATCAGGTATTCCTTCCATCTAATGAATGTTTTTTTCCAGAAAAATCCTGGTTTTCCATTGACACTTCTTTTCATTATGTGACTTGCCTTTCAGATAGAACTGGCATTAAAAAATAACCAGGGTTTAAATGGGATAAAAATAGCCAAGAGACTTTTTTCTTATATTTTTGCTTTTTTTTTTCTCTCTCTTTGTGTTCTCCTTTATTCAACACATTCCCCATTTTATTTTTCACAGACTTTATTATCCACATTCTCAAAATGCCTGATTTTTTCTCTCCCTTCTGATATGTTTGTATTGTTGCCCTGGGGTTTATAGTATAGTGCATGCTAACTGGACCAGAAATAAGTGAATTGTACTTTATGTTTAGTTGGAGTTATGGTAGAGAGTTTCTAGCAGAGTTTCCTCCGTCTCCCTCTTCTCTCTCTTTTTATTAATCTTTGATAACCCTCTTTTTGATCTATACACTACACCCTGCTAATTTACGGATGCTTTTAAAACTCAGACATGGGATTACTTCATTTGATTCATGGAAGGCCACAAGCACTTCAAATTAACCTTTTGCTTCCTTGGGAAAAAAAAAAATAAAAAAAAAAATTACTTTGGGGATTTGGTTCACCTGTTGAGAAAGAAGCTGTCTCTTCTTATTTACTGAGATTGCCTCAGTACCATGGAGATGACTCATGCATACTCTGCAGGGCTTAGATGGCACCGTAAATTCACTGCTGGACACCATGGACCTGATCCAGAGCAAACTGAGGTCAAAAAAATCATTCCCATTGACTCCAACTGCAAACCTGCATTATACTGAGTGCACTTTATTCCCACAGAAATTAATGGAAGAAGATGCTGTTTAGTATATCAAAGAACCATGTAAAGGTGACAGTGTATTGTTTTATCTACTGAAAAACAACAGTACAAAGTGACATCATTGCATCACCGACAGTTCTATCCTCTGACCTTTCCATATCTGTTTACCACCATTTTTTGAAGGTGTCCAGAGAGAGATGTGGTCAGTGTCCAAAGCATGTATTAAGCCCTACTTTTCTACCAGCCTACCAGGGGGGCACAATATTTGCAAATTCAATAGAATGAGAAGAGCTGAATAATAAGAAAAGACATGGAGACTACTTGAAAGTATAGCTCACCTGGGATGGCAGGTAAAGGTCTGTGGGGCTTATCTTCAGTCTGAGGCCTGTGAAATTCTGGGAGTGTGAGAGACTGCTTTGCAGAGGTCTGCAGAAAGGAGCTAAGGAAAGCAGCCATGCAAATATCATCAAAATGCTGAAAGAGTTCCCTCTACAAAAGTGTCTGAACTGTGAGTTGTGAAGATTTCAGAAGTTCCTTATCTAATGCTGCCCATGAACAAAACAAAACATCAGAATTTGAGTACAAACACTTTTCAAGCACTGAATGGGGTGTTATTAAAAATAAAAAATAATAATAATAATAAAAAAACAGATCAGAGGTTTTCCTTCCCTGTCTCCAGCCATTAGACAGAAAGCATCACACCATAGTTCTGAGAAAATCAAATGAGTAAAAGGGGAAAACAAGAGCAGGCATTGAATTTGCTTTCTGCTTTTCTAAGCATTTTATAAACAAGAACTTGGCGATTAGAAAAATAAACCCAGAAACTGACGTAGTGTTAGCTTAATACTATTTTCTATCCCCACAAGCTTCTCCTCTGCTCCCCTCAGTATTCAGAGACAAAACTGATTCTCTAAATCCGGTCCACAGCCCTGATCTAATTACTTGACTGCAAACTACTTTACATAACTACTAATAAACAGCGCGACTGTATTGTTCAAACACTGTTAGTGTGAATACCACTCAAGTCTTCAAGAACAGCCATGAACTTAGGAGGGCAATAGTGCTTTATGGGGGTTTAATACAAAGCTACATTGTGTGTACCCAGTGGAGTAGAACAGGGCAGTAGCAGAAGCCCTTTCTATTCAAGAATATGAATATTCTTTCTATTCACCATCCATTTTCTGCTTCCGATAGCACAGGTTGCATATAAATATATATATATATATATATATATATATATCCCAGAAGGTGTGAGAAATGGCAAGATTAATGTTGTGTTTTCATCTTCACTATAGATGCTTCCTGGTGTTACATTTGAGTGCATCCCACTGCCTTGCTTTAGCCTGTCTGCCTCTTAATGAATCAGGACTCCATGAAAACTGGCTCGGTCCATTATACCCGTGGGTCATTATCTCCTAGATCTACAATAGCCTTCTAGTCAGGACCGCAACATATGGTAACTGCCACTGATCAACACACCACATAACGCTGTTTATTATCCACTCACTGACAATGAAGCTTCAGGCAGAGACTCCAACAGGGCTCAGGATGCACTTAGCAGAAGCAGTGGGTTTTTCACCCTAAAAAGCTGCAGAATTCTATAGGTTAAAGTACAGTGAAAATACTGGCAATTTATGGACTGTGTTTTAATTCATATTTACAAAGAAGACTTGGAATCGGGGTGTTTTTTTCTGAAATTATATTGACTCCTTTCATATAGAGAGCTATTTGGACCACATAAGCCAGCTTTCTCCTGTTTTTCTTCCTCCTCCTTTGTTTCTCTGCATAAGCCAAGTACTCTCATCAATCAGTCTTCTCAAGTTCTTCAGGAAACAACTCAAAGTGCCAAAGGGACCAAAGAAACAGCAATAACTATAGTGACACCAAAAGCCGCAATAGCACCTGGACCTGCACTAGCAGCAAAACGTGCAAGATTTATGGACATTACTGAGCCAGTGCAGAAAACACAGCTGAAGTCATCAGCCTAGAGCAATGCAAACTTACTGTGCTGTGGCACTGGTGAAAAATTTTTCTTCAAGGTCACTTGATCCCAGAGGTTCCAATGTTTTTAGGAAGAAAATATCTGTAGCATACACATATGATCCTGTTTTCATGTTGCTCCCCTTTACTCCCTGCCAGCCTAGTGAGAATAACCCTGTGCATTGAGACTTGTGAATGGATTACATGCAGCCTCAAATGGCCAAACTATCCACTGCAGTGAAATGCATTAAACCTCAACACAATGCAGAACAGATAGAATTGGAAAGAAAGGAAAAAAAAAAAAATTAGAAAGAAATACCAGGATGGCCCATTTTATATCTTGTGCACTTAGAGTCCACAAAAGAAGGCAGTGTGTCCTCTTGGCACCTTTGCTACCTGGAGTAGCTCTTTACTATGCATCCCAGCCAGCAAAATCAAGCTTACTGCCAATGCAGTTAAAGAAATGGAACAGAGCTGAGATAGTCTCAATATTTATAATCAGATGTGTTAAGAAGATGTTAAGAGTATTTATTTGTTCCTTGCAATGATATAATGTCCCAGATGATTTGTATAAATGTATTTAGTTGTGTCTCACCACCTTACAAAATACTACATAGCTATGGGTTTTGGAGTGGCTGTGGTTCAACACAGTGAGTCATGACTTCATTTTTGATAAAAGACTGTTTGTTTTTCAAACAAATATTTGAGGAAAAGGAGTAACCCTGTCTCTCTTATAATCAGTGCAAGCATACAGTAGTGTCAGTCACAGTATTATTTTACAGGAAAAAGATGACAAAGTAGGAAAAATAACATGAAAGTCCCCATGTGCAAACACAGCTACTTTCTTTTTACCAGTCTTGGCAACATTATGGGAGAAATTGGGACCAAATGCTACTTCTTCAAAATCTCCACTAATCCCTTATTCACACTTTTTTAGTACAATGTGATGAGATACACAGATGTCTTAGGAGAGGGAATAAGCTAATGGTGAAAAATCTGCCTTTATCTTTCACCTAATTTTTTTCAATGAACAAGTTAAATTGTCCCCGTTTGGCTTCACAAGCAGTATGCTTCAGTGCAAGCTTAAGCACAAGCTGAACAAAAACTGGACTCTGATGCATTATTTATAGCTCCTTGCACAAGCCACTTTGCATGAGCATTTATTAATTGCCTGCAAAATCAGCGAAATACATTTTGAGCGTGTCAGCTCAGCATATATTGAACATAATTGCACATTTGAGCCACACGGTTGTTTATGTCACTTTGTAATCACACTAATAATTACCAAACAACCAAGTAATTCAATGAACAGTAAATGTAACATTTAATTACTTTATTAATTTCCACATAACATGGAAGAAGGAAAATAACCATCTCAATCTATAATTTTGCTCTATTTGCAAACCCTATCTTTATGTAGATATATGGGAGAAATTATGAAAACACAGCACAGGAGATGCACAAACATAACTCAGTGCTTGCTTGATGTTTTTTGTGTTGGCACCTCTCCTGCATGGAGCTTTGAAAATTTATCCTATAATGTCAAGCAACTTCAAGGCATCGTGGACTTCGAAAATTAAAAGGAAAAGAAAAAAATAAATTCTGCACTGAGATACAAATTCCACCTTCTGTCAGGGACTTACTGATTAGAAAACTCTTTATAGGTTAAGCCAACCATTACATTTTTATGTTGCTATATATTTCAAAACATAAAAAATAAAACATTTTCCCCATAAAACCTTTCAAAACCGTAAATACTCACACAGTCCATAGCTCCAGACGAAGTTGCAATTTATTATTTATCTGTTTTTATATTCTGCTATAGTATCTCTTTCTTTTATAAGTCTGGCAAATCTCCCACAGAAGTTTCTTCATCAGCAGTTATTTTAAACTACAGTCTTTCATAGTACATGCTGCTCATGTGTTGAACCAGTCCTCAAGAACTGTGTGTTTTCCCAGCAAAGCGTTCTGGTCCAGGAGATACAACAAAATCACTGCACTTAGTGAACATTAAGGAAGCTTTTTAAAATTCAAATGCATCATTTTGAACCATGCCTGAATTCCTGCTGAGCATGATTTTTTTTCACAAGTGTTTCTGCATTCATGCTGCCTTTAGTAATGATGCTTCAGACAAGCTCAAGTTTTCAATGTCAAATTGTACAAGTCAGTTGCATCTGCACTCAGAGAGCTTGAAACCCTCAACTTCAGTTTCCCTGCCTGGAGCATCTCTGATCTAGAACCAGAGCCAAAGTGTGAGCTATTTTTGTGGCTATTTTTATGGAACACCAGGAGAAAGTGTATTTGAACCCTATACTAATGTGGAACTACAGGTGCAGCTTCTGAGGCACATATGGCTTTTCTTGCTAGAGTCTATAGTGGTTGAAAGTATTATCGGAATGTGGCCTCCTCTCTGAAATGGAATGCTTGCCATCTCTGACCTGCTTATTAGACAAAAATATAATGGTGTTGCACAGCCACCTCAGAAGGTATTTAACTTCCAGCGATGATAGCAGAAGGTCTGATCCAGCTCTCAAAGACAATGTGCTCTAACTGTCAAAGGACTCTGTCAAACCTTTGCTTGTTCTTGTCTGTGGGGCTTGGGGGAGTCAGTTATTTGTGCCTTCTTCAAGTTGCACAGTGATGACCTTAAAAATGGAACCTTTTTTTAAGGTTGCTATTTAATGGTAGGACAAATGCAAAGGAGTGAGCACATCTTGCAGTATGACTTAGTCCTACTGCTTATCCCAAAACAGAACTGAGGCCCACTTGTATCTACATCAGAAAAAAAATGGCTCCAGATGGGCCTGGAACCTACTTCTTCTCAAAATAATTTTTGAGCATATCTTTTCAGTACAGAAATAGTTTGTACTTCTTCTATCATTTTTATAGACCTTCTGGTGTTCATTGACAATTGATCAGCTGGATAGTTTACCAAAAGACAGCATGAGAAAGTAGTGAAATGATATACTGAATAAAAAAAAAAAAAAAAGACTTTAGTGAAAAATGTAAATGCTTTGCTTTGTCCTTGATGTTTAATACTCGTATCTTTCAGCTCATCTACTTTATTTATTAGACTTTCACCTTATCCCTCACAGTTATTCTGACACACAAAAGTTCTTAGTTCAGAGAGTAAATATGGTACAATGCAAAGGGTTATGAACATAAAAAATGCATTAGAGAAAAATGTAAATGCTCAGATTTGTCCTTGATACTTAATACTCTTATCTCGCAATTCATCCACTCTATTTATTAGACCTTCACCTTATCCCTCACCACTGCTTTGACAGTTGAAACTTCTTTGTTCATCAAAGGGTAAGATTGTTTGTGTGAGTACTGAATAGCAGTACTCCAGCTGCCATTGGTAAACTTATCACAGGTTGTGTAGCTGGTGATGCTGCTTCTGAAGGAGGAATCTGAGAAGTTTTGAATAAAGTCTGTGGAGCAGAGGCCCATATAACATCAGATTTGTTCTGGTATTTAGAGTAATTAAATAGTCATTTATATTCAAAAGCCCTGTACTAGGAGCCCTAGGTGCATGTGAGTACTGCTACAAGTGAGGATCTGTAACCATTTTCACCTCTAACCTCAACAAAGAAAGTGATAGGTTTCATCTATTTCCAGTTGTATTGTGCTTGATAACACTGAAATGTAAGCCAG